TTTTGAGTTACAAAAAGAAGCGCCTAATTACATCTCACTAAACATTATAAAGGCACAAAGAACATGAAGTGATTACCAAGGATGTGTAGATATAAACATGGGCGTGGTACGTAGCAGAGCAAGTTCGAAAGGATGTGATATCATTGCGTGACTTTTTTCCCTTGCAGGTGCAGTAAAAATGCTGTTTTAAATGTAGTTACTGTTTGTACTGAAATACTCATTCTTATCATCTTCTGAATTTAAAATATTACAAGATCGTCCGCGTGATTTACCGGGCTGTTGTTCGGGGTGGGGACTTCCATGGCGCAGCAGCGCTTCGGTTGAGTGGCTGTCAGTCTGCAGTGTGAACGGACGTGTGCCCTTTCCCCGTGTCGTCCGCAGGCCGCCAGCCTGGAGTGGAGGAACAAGGAGAATCAGGAAACTGGGTTTAAATTTCTCTTCACGTTGTTTCGAAAGTATTATCTTCCCCATTTGTTTCCGTCGTTTACGAGGCTGACGAACGTCTACAAGCCTGTGCTCGGTGAGTGCTGACCGGTCCCCGGGAGGCCGTCCCGCCCCCGCCAAGTGACCTTCGATTATTTTTAAGCAAAATAATGCTTGTTTCTCATATTTAGTGGTAACTTTATTGTAAGAGGTTTAAAGTTTCTCAGTAAATGACTTTAGCTGTTTGTTCAGACTAAGATCTACTGCAGTTCACAGCAGCAGCAGGGAACCTGTGGCTCCTGCACTCAGAAATAATTTGGTATGTATCATGATACTTTCGGTGTGATTACACTTAGTGAATTTTTTAATGTAAAAACAAGCCAGAATTCCTTACAGTATCCTCTTAGAGGGAGGGGGGTGTGGTGACCCCAGACCTTGCTCAGTGGTGAGGTCGGCCAGCCCCAGCCGCATGGCTGCACAGTCTGCTTTTTTAAAAATACTGGATCTTTCATTCAGCAGGTAGTGCTGCCAGCTGCCGGCAGAGGGACAGACATTCGGGTGATCGGGGAATCTCGGGGCAGGAAGCCCCAAGGGATAGGAGACGCAAGGGGATTTCTCACTGAGCTTCTAGAGTTTTCCTTCTGTAAGGAGTGGGGACTCACAGGACAGAAACATCTCCGGTGGAGATGGGGGCAGCCAGTCTTCCTCTCTCTGTTATTTTAAAAGGGTGAAATTTGTTCAGATGAATAATCAAGAGCAGTTCTGGCGGGGGAAAGGTCACAGCAGACGCTGCTCCACCCGGGGAACGTGGACAGCGGAGTCAGGTGACTGTGGGTGCTTCCGTGTGTCCGCACCCTCGGGAAAGGGGAGGGCAGCTGCAGCTTGGCTCATTTAGAAAGTTCTTGACGTCCTGATCATTCACGGTGCTGGAATATGTATTCTGTTAGCTATATTTATTTGGGCATTTTTTTCAAAAATTGTTTCTGATCTTCTCAGTAGTCCATATATGCATTGTAGAAAATATGATGTGTTGTGAATATCCATGGAATGAGAGTGTTTTGCTGAGAACTTTTCTGCCTCATGCAGGTGCCTTCAGGTGTATAAAGATTGGTGAGAGTCGAGCTCACAGCAAGTAGCATCTCAGATTCCATACCACGTAATCCTCGTATTGACTGTGGGATTTAAAGAATGAGAAAAAGACTTATTTTTATTTCTTTAAAAATGGTGGTATCTGATATCTTGAAGATGAAACATGACTTTATGAATTCTTTTAGACATAAAGTAGACTATACTAATTCCCTTTCTTTCTTTCTTTCTTTAATGGCAGTACTGGGGATTGAACCCGGGACCTTGTGCATGTTAAGCATATGCTCTACCACTGAGCTATACCCTCCCCCCAATTTCTGTTTCTTTGGGTTCATTTAAAGGGAAAAGTTTATAAAACTAAAGATCATTGGATTTAATTACCATGATGTTGGATGTTAAAATACCTACTATGATTTTTAGAAGTCTGTATATGCTTTTACATTTGTTCCAGTCGTAAGATTAAATTAGTTATAACTTATGCGAAAAAGTTTTCACTGTTATAATCTCATATAATTTCTCAAATGTGTCAAAAAGAGTTACTACCTTTGTTTCTCCACAGCCGTGCGCTGTAGTTGTGTGTAAACGACAGCAGCCACCACTCTGTGTTGGTCAGGTTGCAGGGCGGAATCAGAAACAGGTCTACCAGAGGTGCTGTTTTAATCATTTCTGGTTCTTTAATCTCAGCTGTTATTTAAACCACCAAACAGGTGTCCATCTAATTAGAAACGGAAGCGTTTGTGGGGCTGACATAACGCTGAGATTCACTGACCGAATCGGGCGGTCTTGTTTTCCCGCAGACACCCCCCACTCCAGGCCGAAGCCGGTGTACGTCACGACAACTCGAGACAATGAAAACATTTACAGCACGAACGTCCCTTACATGGCAGCTCGAGTTGTTTTTATTAAGTGGATTGTAACTTTCTTTCTGGAAAAAAAGTATCTAACGGGCACACAAAACACTAAAAATGGAGCCGATGTCCTGCCTAAAATCATCCAGGTAAGGCACCCATCGCTTTCTCTTTTCACACTGGTGTCGTGACAGACGCGGACAGGTGCCAAGGTAGCTGACCGTCAGGGTCACTGGCTCTCGCAGGTTGTTGGCTACGGGGCCTCGAGTTTATTAGCTCACCCACCTACCATGCTGGGCCTCAGAGGGAGCCGCGCGTGCGTCACGAGCACTCGTTGTGCTCCGTGGGCATCGTCCAGGCAATCTTGGTGGCGAAGGAGGCGTTCTGGAAGATGCTGCCAAGCGCCCTCCTGGCTCCCTCTCATCTTCCCTCCTTCCCTCAAGTCCCAGTGACCTCTGAGCAGAAGACCCAGGGCCTCTTGCCCCAGGAAGGGCCTCAGGAATTGTGAGGTGGTCCCTGGAGGGAACCTGTGAGACCACCAGGTGTCCCTGGGATCTCAGGGGCAGGGAGGGCCGGCCGCTCAGGATTTCGGGTGATTGTTGAGCTGTCAACGGGCCCCTGGAAGAGGAGGCCGCCTCTCCCCGAGGCCTTGGGTGAGGACCTCTTCTCACATGGAGCCACAGGGCCACTCGCGCTTGGCGGCCTTGGTCACACACACATGCGGTCTCCCAGCGGGCTGCGTAGCTTCTTGCCTTTGTGTGAGGAGAGCAGGATCACTCGTGGCAGGCAGAGCGGCCACTTCATGGAGGAGTCACGGTTTCATTTGCTTCTTAATTGGCCCCAAGAACAGAGCCAGAAAGTGTAGTCCATTTAGTGCAGGTTGGCCAGTGCGCTGGAGGTGCCAGAAGTGTGACCTCTGCCCGAGCTCACGGTGTGCTCGCCTGGGGGCTGAGTACCCCGATGCAGGAGCACTGAGCAGGCCCAGAGCCCGGGCCCCACTGGCCAGCACTGACCGAAGGCCGGGAGGAGCTTGTTTCCAAAGACAACTGAGAGAGGCAGGATGCCAGGAGGATAACAGAAGACTCTCTGCAAAAAAGGTTTTTTTTTTAAGAAAAAACTTAAATTTCTGAATTTAAAATTTTAATTGGGTAAACCCGAAATGGTAATAGTCACTGCTGAGAACAAAATTGGTCTTCTGAAGCAATACCGCACAACGCTGGTTAAAAAAAAATCAGAGCTGGAAGTCAGAAATGAGTAGTAAGAGCTGGGGACAGGTGCAGACCCACCTTGCAGATACTGTGAGGGCAGAAGGAGGGAAAGGTGAGAGGTAATGACTGAGCTGAGAGTAAGGAAAGTGTACCTGAGCTGGGAAGAGTCATGCCTTAGACCGGAAAGGCCCTCGAGTCCCAGGAAGAATTCGTGAAACAGACGCCGACCTTAACAGACATTTGACTTTCAGGGATGAAGAAAAAAATGATAGAGACTTCCAAACAGAAACCACAGTTATTCCGAAGGAATGAGGCAGATATTAGCACTGAATATCTAATCTAATCTGCAAGCCTGGAAGCTAGAACTCGTCTGTCCGTCTGTCTCTTTCTCAGAACCTCACTTCATATCACGTACAAAGCACACGTCACATTGATTTAGGGCCTAAGTTGATTTAAGGTCTAAATATAAAAACCAAGTACTCGAGAACTTGGGGAAAGTCTGGGGGAATGTGTAAATGTGGGAAGTAGTAGGTCGCCTTTGTAGGGATAAGGCCCACAAACCACAGAAGAAAGGAGGTTCGACTTTATTTTTAAAAATAGAAAAAGATTTATATGTCAAAAGATAACATAAAGCCAGGCCCAAGCAATAGACTGTGAGAAGCATCTGTAACATCATGGCTGTTGGGGGAGTTCGTATCTCTGCTGTATAAAGAGCGTCTACAAGTCAATAAGAAGACAGCCTAATTGGAAAATGGACAAAGAGGTGAAAGGCAGTTCACGGAAGAGGAAATAAAACTGACTGAATTCACCAGCACTCAGGGAAACACAGTTAGTTCTGAGCCATGATGAGAGATCTTTATTCACCCATCAGGTAGACAAAAAACAAAAAATCCTCAGGCAGACAAACATTAGCAGGAAATCATGTATTAGAAACCCAGTCACTCTGATAAATTTATTGTTGCATCTTTATGTGGCTGTGCACACAGGCAGTTCCAAATGCCTTCATAGAAAAGATGTAACTTTTTCCTGCCTCATTTCAAAGTTTCAGAAAACCATCACCTGCATTTATTGAAAATAAGTCGCTGATTCTTGAAAAATACGTTTGATGACTAGAAGTAGCAGGAACAGCAAACTGAGCACTGCGGCAAGGTGCTCATGTTTTCCTGGCTCTTCACCCTCGTGAGCCCTCTCCCTTCGTTAGCTCGCTCTTCCGGTGTCGGAAGGGTCTGACCACTTGAACCAGCTGGGAGGATTTTATCATCCAAACAGGCAGAAAAAAACAACCCAGAACTCAAACTGTCTTAACATAAAAGACGTATTTTCATCTCATGGGAGCTGAGGGCGTGGCTCCCCGCCCGGGCCCCTCTCCCCTCCGCTGCCCTTTTCTCGCGGGGCCCCTTCATCTTCTGCTTCCCTGCTGGTTGCCATGATGCCCGCGGCTGGACGCCACTTTCCCCGTTCAAATTCAGAGACAGTCCAGAAACATAAAGCCCGTCCCCTTTGTCTGAGTGGAACAATATAGGTTACCCACCCACTCCTGGAACCATGCCTAGGCACGGAGTGGCTCAGATCTGGGTGTGTGAACAGCCAGGAGGGCCGAGGCTGGTTCCATGAAACAGACGCCCCTCCACTGGGGTCGGCGTGCTGCCGGCCAGGTGTGTGCCCGCAAGGAGGCGCAGCACGGGTTCCGTGCGGGGAGCGGAGCTGGGGCGGACGGCAGTCCAGGCCACTGCAGCAGCCCCTGCAGACCGGTCGCACTCCTCACAGCAGGTGGTCACGTTAGTTTCCTGTAGCTGCAGTGGCTAACTTCGCAGATTTATTATCCTAAGGGTCTGGGACTCAGAACTCCAAACTCAGCCTCAGTGGGCTAACATCAAGGTGTTGGCAGGTTAGTGCTCCTTCCGGAGGCTCTGGAGGAGGGTCTGCGTCATCACCTCGTCCAGCTTCCAGAGGCCGCCTGTGTGCCTGGCTCTGGGCCCCTCAGCACATCCCCTTTTCTCCCTCCGCCTCCATCTTCACGTCGCCTTCTCTGTGTCTGATCCTCCTGCCTCCTCATGGGCCCTTGTGATGACCATGGGACCACTCGGGCACTCCAGGACACTCCCCCTCCACATCCTCAGTCTTACCTGTGAAGTCCCTTTTGCCACGTAAGGCAGCATATTCAAAGGTTCCGAGGATGAGGGCCTGGACACCTTGCAGGGTGGTGGTCTGCATTCAGCCGGCCAGTCATCCCCTGAGTCCCCTTCTCTGCCTCACAGCGGTTTTCCACCTCCTCTCACACGTGTCTGCCGTGTTCCACACCTCACACTGTACGTGAGAAAAAGCAGCTCAAACAACTGAATACTAAATTTTGGAAATAGAGTTGCAGGAATAAAGGCACATACAATTATATTTTTCTCCTGAAAGTTTTTGTTTGGAATTTGAAATTTAATGTAATTTTACCGGTGTCGAGTGAACACTGTCGGCGTCAGGTGATGCAGAATCTCTCTGCAAAGAATGTAGTGCCCTTATAAAGGCCCTTTCAAGCAGTATTTTAAATGCTACTTCCAAGCAGAGTTCATACTTTTGCCACTGTTACTGTGTTCAGGTTATCTATGAGATTTTTTTTGTATGTCTTTTTCCAAAGTGAACTTACTTCCTTTTGATCTAGAACGAATCCATTTGACAGTATTTTTCACCAGGAAAGAAAGGAATTAATGCATCTTCCAGACTGAGCTCACCAGCCCCTCGGAGAATCTGGTTTGACAGATGTTCCTCTGCGTGGCATCACTCACGGGAGGGTGAAAATACTGTTGCCTGTGCGTCCTGTACCATGTTGGCGACACTGATGGCAAATTCCCCTTTCAGATCTGAAGGTTCTCGATGCATCATTTCAGCTGAAAATGTCCTCAGTGAGCTATTATTTACTTCTTGGTAATTCATTTTTGTCTGAGGTAGAAGTACTTTAGCATGCACGGGAGAAAGCAGAGTGGTGGTGTTAAAATCTCAGCAGCAACTTTTTGTTTTATTATTGGTTTTGTATGCACGTCAATTAAACGTTATCACCCAAAGAAGTCCATGAGAGAATGAAAAGTGGTTTGAGATACCAAGAACAGTTAATCACACTTATTGATATGATAACTCTTTAGTTACATTGTTCAAGTACCACTTTTAATTCTGAACCAGATACGTCAATAATGATTAACAAGCTGTGGGTTTCCTGAAGTTGCTGAACAGTTACAAGAAAACGACTCATGCAAAGTGGCACCCCTGTGGGGGTTTGCGTGTGACACACCACCTGTCTGCTGCCTGCCGCCCCAGGGCTCTGCGTGCTCCTTGAGCTCTAGGCTGTCCCCAACCACGTAGGCAAACTGCAAAGGAGAATTGAGTGATGCTGGGCACCACCAGCAGAGTGACAGCTACATTCTCTTGTTTCACGCGTGCTTGCTGGATGTTCTCATCCGGCCTGACCTTGCGTGTGCACAGGTCTCAGTGTGAGCCGCGGACTGAGAGGAAACCGGGGTTGCCAGCGGAAGGGCTAAGTGACAGCCTACGCTGTGTATTTCCTGAGCCCTGGCTGCGCCCGCCTGGTTCAAGCAGGTATGTCTGTTTCACTGACTAAACGTCCGTCAGATGCCAAAAAGGGAAAATCACCTTTGCCTTTTCCCCTCAAAATCAACTCATACTAAGTAATAATTGAGAATTCCAGCTTGACTGTGGCGGGTGGAAGGGGGCCTCTCTCTCTGTAGTTAACGTGTATTCATGCTCTGACTGTTGATCTTTATAAAAGAGGCAAGAAATGAGTAGACTTGAATTACTAGTTTGTTTTCACTCTCATCATTTACTATAATTATAAATGTCTGTTAAAACACACAAATGTTTTGGAAAGCAGCCTTTTGCTGATGTGGACTGGAGGAGGCTAAGCAAAGCGCCGTTTTATCAGGAGAAACAGTTTTCAGTTAATGGCATGGTGGGAAATTCATCTGTGTTGTCATTATGTTCATTATGTTCTATTTGGATAACAGCTCATTTTTAGAAATAACTTTGTGCCGTTAAACATAATTCTTCATGTACGTTATTTTAGTAATCTAACCGCTGTGTTATCTTAGTTACTTTCTAATGACCTCAGAGCATAGTGGCTTAAAACAACAACCCTTTAATCTTATTATGTATTTCACTTTTTGGGTCAGGAATTTGGGTGAGATTTTGTTGTATAGTTCTTATGCTCCATTCACTGAGGTCAAGGGGTGGTGGTCTTCCGCTGGTGGCTGGTTGACCTGGAGGGTCCAGGATGACTTCATTCACGTGCCTGGTACTCGGCTGGGCCCAGCCGGACCTCCCTTTCCACGTAGTCCCTCCAGCAAGGCCGTTGGACGTCTTCCCTGGCTGTTCAGGGCTCCAGGCACAAATGTCCCCAGAGATGCAAAGTGGCAGCGGTCAGCCTCCTGGGCCTGCACCTCAAACTGGCACAGGCGCCTTCCACCCCTCCTTTCTCCTGGTTAACACAGTCCCGTCGGCCACGGGGGCAGAGGGAGGGGATCCAGACCTCACCCAGACCTCACGGAAGGAGGGCCAAAGAAGCTGTGGCCATGTTTAATCTGCCACCTAAGTTCGTACGTCCTTTTTTTTTGGCCTGTGGGGAAAATGAGAGTTACTGATCAAAAAGTCACAGGTTACCGAGCCATCAAGGATGTTAGACTAAATCTCGCCTCCCTGCTTTACAGGTTAAAAATATGTATGTATCAGTTAAAAAGGAGTAAACTTTATTTTTCTATGGAGGATATTTGATCCATCAAAAAGATGAAATAATTTCCTGAGGGAAACTCATTGCACAGGGTGACAGTGCCTTGATACGCCACTCAGGCCTCACTGCCAGGCATGAAGAGAAAATTACTCTAACTGTAATTTTCTATTAATTTTCTCTAGAAATTATTACTTGGATATCTGCTTTGCTTTCAAGCTGTCCTTGGTAGTTACTCAAATTATTATTTTGTGCTACTCATATCTTGTCACTTCTTGTAAAAAATATTCCCAGTGGGTAGAATTTTAGCAGTATTGGGGCTGTATATTTTTGACACTAAAAAGTAATTTACAAGGATGAAGCGAAATTATACGTCTGTTATGTTTGGAGGAAATCTTTAGTTCTAGGGGGAATGAGCAAAAATCAGTTTAAACCTTGTGAGTCATTACACGGATTATTTCATTGTCCTCCTGAAATCTCTAAATAAAAGTTTTGTAAATATTTTAAAGTTCAATCTGAGATTCTGAATTTGAAATTCAGATCAAGGTTTTTTTTTCCTCAGAAAAATATTCTTTAAAGGTATCGACACTCCTCCAATCAAAGTGTCACTTACTTGTATGAATCAGATGATGCTTCCAACACCGCAGCTGCAAAAAGTCCACAGAGAATTTTCAGATCTCTGTGACCACAGAGGAAGGACTGAAGGGCGGAGCCCAAAGGGAATGATGAGATAGGTTTATTTGCACAGTAATTTATTCTGTGATTCTACAGCTATCAACCAAACTGTTTAGGTTTGGATAAATTTCACAGCCTCTGTCCCTGCAATGGTGTGGCAGTTTTTCCGCTGGGATAACAAGAGTTGGGAAGAGGTTAGTTGGTGAATCAGAGAATCAGTCAGTCCGGCCCCGAGCCCCTGTGCTTGGAGCGGTTTTCAGTTGTCACATGGATGGTGGACGGAGCCCTTTCACGTGAGGCGGGTCTCCAGCTTGGCCAGGTGGCCTGGGGTGTCGGAGAGGATCACTCAGAGGTGGCGGTGACTTTCTTCCAGACCGTCGGGGGTGGAGCTGGGGCGCAGGAGAGGACACCGGAGCTGGACGGCGGCGGGGCGGCCGAGCAGGACAGAGGCCCTTCCAACAGCAGCACCCTGTCCGACCGCAGGCGCAGCAGCGGCAGCCTCTGCAGCGTCGACGAGGAGCACCGGCCGGTGTACGAGATGGTGCAGCGCATCCTCCTGTCCACGCGCGGCTACGTCAACTTCGTGAATGAGGTGTTTCGCCAGGTGAGCGCATGCGCGCGCGTGTGACCGCGAAATCCGAGAGGGTTTTGTTCCTCTCCTTTCGCTCGGAATACTGCAAGAGATACAGTGGACAAGCTGGCCTAACTGCAGGACTCAGTAGTGACCCCTCTAATCCCACTTTTAATCATCATGCACATTCTCAGCGCAGAGTTCAGATGTGCGTGCGCGCAGCAGAGCGCAGTGCACGAGGCCGGTCGGGGCCCCCTCGGGAGCCGTGGGAACAAGCGCGGGTGAGGCGGCTGGGGCCGGGCGGCTCGCGGGGGGTCTGACGCAGCGGTCAGCCCCGGGCGGGCTAGGCCAGCGCGCTGAAGGCAGTGGATGCAGACAGTAACTGGGATGGGGGTGAGGTTTGGTGAGATTCCGGGCAGCCTCGGTGCTGCTCCCGCCAGCCCGGGATGCGCGGTGGAGGAGAGCTTCCGCAGGGCGGTGCTGGTCACTGGCTCCGTCCCCCAGAAACCCGTCTCCTAGCTGGTGTTTTACAGACTGCCTCACGTGACCAATTTGTTGGTCATGAAATAAACTTAGTTGGTCAAAACCAGCATTTTTTAAAATTAGTGAAATAAAGTAAAATAGAGTAGACCAAAAAATTTAACAGTGCAGTACGTGTTGTAAGAATCAATATTTCTTTGTGAAACTTAACGATTTTTTTTTATGTCTGCTATGTATACAAATGCATATATCCTTCTGGAAAATGACTTACTTAGGTTGTGATCTGAAAGGAAGTATTGCTTTAAATTAGATTGTTTTGTTTTTTGGTTGGTTCTGTTTTAAAGAACAATTTTTTTAAGCAATCGTTTTATTTATTTATTTACTTACTTACTTACATGCTTAATTATTTGGAGAGGGAGGTAATTAGGTTTGTTTGTTTGTTTTTGGAGGAGGTACTGGGGGCTGAACCCAGGACCTTGTGCGTGCTAAGCACGCACTGTACCACTTGAGCTATACCCTCCCGGCAAGAACAACTTTATTTCTATCTTGAAAAAAGAGATGAATGTTCATTAGATAAAGCAGTCTCTCTCTCTCTCTCTATATATATGTAATTATAGAGGAGAAGCAAGAACCAGTTCACCCAAAACAATACCATGCCATGTAAGTAACAGCTATAAATGTTAGAAGAGCATCATTCTAGGTGTTTCTCTAAGTGTATATATGACTGCCGGCCTGAGAGCATGAGAAACCAGCTGAGAGGATGCACGTAAGACAGGATGTGAACAGACAGGAAGCAGCCTGGTGGACAGATAGGAGGAAGGACTTACAGATGAGCTAAGAGATATCAACAAACTGGCAGGCAGGCGTAGAAGAACAGACAGGCAGGAGCAGGCCAGCCAGCAGAGGTGGAGATATGTGGACAGGTGTAGCTAGACAGCTGGGTGGGCGCAGAAAGACAGGCAGACAGAGATGGGAACTTGGCAGGTGGGGGGATGGAGAGGCAGGCAGGTAGCCATGGACAGAGACAGGTGGGACCAGACAGAGGCTGATGGAGTTAAGGTGGGGGCCACAACAGGTGTGTGGAAGCGGCGGGGGTGGGGTGGGGGACCACAGAACAGCTTTATGACAATGGAATTTTTAATTATTAATCAATCTTTAATGTAGTTACTGAACAGTTCTGAATTTTATTTTTACCTGAATTTAACCGAAGAAAAGAAAGCAAAACTGAAGGAATTGTTGAAGTTCCAGTAAATATTCCTTTACCACAAGAGATATTAATTGCTAAAAGATTTGGCCATGGTAAAAAGATTATAATAATGTTAAGGTGTTGGAATCACTTTTTAGCTGCATGTTGTAATTTTAGATAGCATTTGATTTCTTGTGATGATATGTGAAGAAATAAGCAGCCTTGTATTTTTTTCAGCCTCTTCTCCCTGTCTGCTGATTTCATCGTTATAAATTTAAATTTAAATTATAAATTTACCCTCATTTTCAGTCGGTTTGGAATCCTAATGCGCAGAGATATTTAGTCTTGGTTCTGCATTTAGACAGGTTCATCCCTCCCAGTGTCCACAGCCCTGAAATACTTGCTTTGGTTGACTTCCTGTTTGGTCTTATTTTATCACTGAGTGGTGTTTTCAAGAAGATGTCTTGGAAACTTTATTCTCTGAATCCTTTTGTGATAGGAAAGTTTTTCCATTTGCCTTTGCACATGGTCAGTAGTTTAGCTGGGTATAATAATTCCAGGTTACTCTTTCTTCCACTTAGGAATTGATAAATCCGAATTTGTCTAGACAGACAATCAGAAGTTACAGGGAAGCCTCACGAGGACTTCAGTTATACAATTGAGACTTTAGAATGAATATGTTTGACATGTTTAAAGAAATAAAAGACAAGCTTGAGGGGGGAGGGTATAGCTAAAGTGGTAGAGCTTGTGCTTAGCATTCATGAGATCTTGGGTTCAATCCCTAGTACCCACTCTAAAAATAAATAAATAAAATAAATTACACTCCCCACCCACAAAAAAGACACACTTGAAAACGTTTGCAGGAAATAAGAAGCTATAGCAGATGACTAAGCAGATTTGAATAGAAAGAAAATAGAACTTCTAGAGATGAAAAAATGTAATAATTGAAATACTAAAGGAAATCCTCAGTGGGTAAGTTTAATAGCAGATTAAATACAGCTGAAAAGAGAATACATTGGATGACAGGTCAGAAGAAATTAGCCTGAATGCAGCTCTGAGAGACAGAGGTGAAGGGCGTGAGAGGCTGAGGTGGGGAGGTCAGCTAGCACATCTGATGCATGTGTTCAGCATTGAAGTATAGCCAGTTACAATGTGTCAATTTCTGGTTACAGCACAATGTCCCAGTCATGCATATACATACATATATTCATTTTCATATTCTTTTTCATGAAAGGTTATTAAAAGATGCTGAATATAGTTCCCTGGCTGTACAGAAGAAATTTTTTAAATCTATTTTAATGTATAGTGGCTAATATTTGCAAATCTCAAACTGCAAAATTTATCCCTCCCCATCCCTTTTCCCCTGTAAACAAAAGATTGTGTACTGTGTCTGTGAGTCTGTTTCTGTTTTGTAAATGAGTTCATTTAGTGTCCTCTTTTTTCCTCTGTTTTTATTATAAATTTCTCTCAGTTACTGAACGTGTCCTGCTATGACTGGGGCTTTGTCTATATTTCTCCCCAAAGTCTATCAGTGTTTGCTATAAACTGAGAAGGATGAAAATGCATACTGAGAGAGTAAAAGTTGAAGTTGATACTAGATTTAAAGTGAGGGATGAATATTGTTAACCCTTAAAATGTTACAAAAGAGTGTGAAAATACTAATCTAGAGGAGAAGAGGCTGCCTAATGTCACCAGCCTGAAAGTGGAGAATGAGACAGGCGTCTTTAACACAGTTACAGCGGTCGTTACTTTAAACGTAAATGCAGTAATGCTCCAATCAAAAGACAGAAATTATAAGCTTGAATTTTAAACTTATAAACTCTTAAAAAGGCTGTATATTATGTGTAAGGGGACATCCCAAACATATGAATATGGGGAAGTTGAAAGCAAAAAAATAGAAAAAGATGTACCATGCAAACACTAACCAAAAGAAAACTAGAGAGCTGTATTCAAAACAGGCAGGAGTAACTTTGAACAAAAAAAAAAAGAGAGAGAGAGAGAGACATTACTAGAGAAAATTCTTAATGGTGAAAGATTCAATTCAAAGGAACATGTAATTCTAAGTCTGTAGTGAAATCTGAACCTGTAATTCAACTAGGAATTTCGCCTCAAACATATGGAGCAAATACTGGTACTGAGTTTTGTTACACGGTTGTCTACATTTGGAATCTGATCATAATAAATCAATATTCTTATGTGCAGATGTGTCAGGGGATTTCTTGGATGTTAAAAAGTTCACATAAATTTGTACAATGCTACAACTGAGTCTCAAGAAAGGAAGGGGGAGAGGAAGAAGAGAAGAAAGAAAAAGGGAAAGAAAGGCTAAAAAGACGAAAAGGAAAAGAAAAGCCCTTTCTGGTGACATTTGCCAGCTTCTGTGGTGGGACTGCTCCCACGACGTCCAGTTCAGGGTACCAGCACCACGTCCCTGAATGTGAACCTGGGAAGAGACGTTTTAACCAGCAGTGCTGTTATGTTGGTTACCACATCATCTATTTCTGATGCTTTGAGGAAAGTTCTTGGTTGTACAATTATTATTGTTCATATACCAATTAATATGGCTGTGTAGGTATGCACTTTGGTTATTTTGTGGCAAAAATATTCAGAATGTGGAAGTCTTTTTAAATTGCATTTTGTTTTCTGGCCCAATTACACGGATGTCTTTTTGTCCTCAGTTAAGTTTGGTGCACACACACACAAATCTCGTGTTCCTGGAGAGTATGTTCACAAGCTGCATGTTTCACTGGGAAGTCTGAAATTGGTGCCGGCCATTGGCAGTGTCTGTCTGGCCGTGGTGACCTGAGCTTGCGTTGAAGGGAGCTGGAAGTAGTTCCTCTTATCATTTTAGGCATTTCTGCTGCCTTCCTGTGACATAGCCATCACCAGAAAAGTGGTTCAAGTGTACAGAAAGTGGATCCTCCAAGACAAACCCGTGTTCATGGAGGAACCGGACGTAAAGGAAGCTGCCCAAGAAGATGCTGAGAAGTTGGGATTTTCAGAGACGGATACCACGGAGGTATGTTTCATCACCTGCTGTTGAGTTGGGAGCATCTGTGTTTTAGCGAAGCACACCTGCTCGGTCGAGGGTCACAGTCAGGGCGTGGGCAGACCCTCTCTTTGTTGTCATGTGTGATGCTCCTGGGTTGCTGAGTTGCATGAGCGCCTGCCTTGGGGAGGCTGCTTCCGGGCCCCGTTCAAGGTCCTCGGGCACCTCCTACCCTCGGGCGGCCACACGTGCGTGGCGGCTTCTTTATTCCCCATTGCCTGAGAACCTTTTAGTAAGCCAGCATGCTTCATGTCTCCGCAGGAGACTAAAAATGTCACGGCCTTATCAGTGCTGTGTTTCAGTAAGCAGTACTTGATACAGTAAACTTAGAGTGTTTTGGCAGACTTTTCCTGAACAGCGGTCAGTTCCAAATGTTGCACACTTGAAAGGCCTAACCGAGTGTTTATTATCCCTGCTGTGAGCCGGGCTGCAGGGCTGGGCGCTGTCCTTGGAGAGGGGTGCTGCCAGGATGTACCTTCCGTTCCACGTTAGATGAAGCTGCAGGTTGGATGAATCTAGAATGACAGGTGGTCCTTTGCTTTTTTTTTTTTCCAATTGAAGTACGGTCAGTTATAATATGTTAGTTTCTGGTGTATAGCGTCATGTTTCAGTCATACATATATATAAATTGTTTTTATATTTTTTTTCATTATAGGTTACTACAAGATATTAAATATAGTTCCCTGTGCTGTACAGAAGAAATTTGTTTTTTATCTAGTGGTTAACCTTTGCAAATCTCAGACTCCCAAATTTGTCCCTTCCCACCCCCTTTCCCCGGTAACCATAAGATTATTACTATGTCTGCAAGTCTGTTTCTGTTTTGTAGATGAGTTCATTAGTGTCCCGAGGGTCGTCTTCTTGACACACAAAAGAAACTTAGGTCATATTTATATTTCTGGCAAGCTCTTTGGAAATCTAGGCTGAGAACTATTTCTACAAGTGGGTGTTCGTCATAGCAGTTAACAACAAACATTAAAAAATACTCATAACCAAAAGTGTATCACTCGGAAGCATCTATGTTAATGCTGTAATTCTTCAATGTTGGTGAAATCATTTTAATAACTAATCACGAGGTCAAAATAAACAGTCACTCTCATTCAGTCATTGGACAGACATCACCTATTTATTTCTTCAGCACGTGCTAAGCGCTAAGAGCTGTTTTAGGTGATGGAGGGAGAATGGTGAACAAAACGGAAACGAGACTTGCTCCTAGAACCTGTGTTTGCACGCATTCTGATGAGCGGAAGGAGTTAAACGTGCGACGCCTCCTTCCCGCTCTACTGACTGACTGTTGTTTCCCAAAGGCCTCGTCGGAAAGTTCCGGTCACAAGCGGTCTTCCAGCTGGGGTCGCTCCTACTCGTTCACCAGCGCGGTGAGCAGAGGCTGCGTGACAGAGGAGGAGAACAGGAGCGTGAAGGCGGGGGCCCAGGCCGCGCTGCAGGTACGCGGGGGCCGCGCCGCCAGGCCCGCACACGCAGTCAGTCCGAGCGCTGCTCACCGGGGGGACGGCACTGAAGCATGTGGCGCTCTCCGGCAGCTCTCGTCCTGAGTCTTCTTCCTGGTTGCCCGCCCTCAGTGTGTGGAGGTTTTTTTCTAATCAAAGGAGACATGTGAACCGGTTGCAGCTTTTCGAGAGGGGTTGTTAAAGCGTGAATATGAAATGACTGAGATTTAAACCTTCAAAGTGTCTTCTGAACCCACATGGGTAGGGAGTTGCCTGGATTCTAATTTGCAAGACAAGCTTGGTGGTTATATAATCTCCTATGTAATATTCCTCTTAACAATCGCCTGTGTTTATGACGAGTGACGATCAATGCAGTGATTTTTATAAGTTTATCTGAATGAGTATCTGAATTAGAACTGATAGCTTTTGGGAATGTTGGAGGGAGCAACTTTGGTTATCACTCGATCTCCCCCAGCTGGGAGATTTTGTCTCAGAGATGCGGATGGGTCCCTCTTGGGTCCCTCCAGCTTGACGGCTGTGAGAAGTGTAAGTGAAAACTTCTCTGTCCCCTGCTCCCCGGCCCCCACCCTCCATCCCGTATCCCGGTTGAGCTGTGCCAGTGCAGCCTCCCACACCCAGGCCAGGCGAGGGGTCCCTGGGACTCGTGGGCGTGCTCGTTACCCAGTGTTCAGTGATGTCGCGTTCCTGTCGTCTGTCTCTTGAGAGGTTTCCTTATCGCGGGATCCTTTCTGTTTTCAAGTTAATTGCCAGTTTCATATACTGTAACAAATGAATTTTCTCAGTTTTCTTTGAGAAACAGGAAATAATTTGAAATTAGCTTTAGAAAAATCAGGATGGTTTTACCTGATTAGCTTCAGAGAACTGGCAAAGCTAAGTGTCACCTGGGCTGTCCCAGAGCGGTCCCTGCCCTGCCCTCTTGCTCCCAGATCCTGGCCGCGTGCCGTGATGAGCCGTCCCCTCTCCCCCTGCAGTCCGTGGGGGTTGCAGGCGCCTGTTACTTCCCTGGTCCAGATGAGTTGCTTGTTTTCTTGGAAAGGAGAAGTTACATCCACTTGGATGAGCCAAGAAAATTTTTTTCTGCCTGATTATGGCTCTACCGTTGTGAAGAGTGTCGAGCACGGATTTAAACAGCTGTTTTTGTTCCCGCGTGTCTAGTTCCTTGGTCCTTTACTTGGTTAATTGGGAAAAGGCGGCCCGGTGGGGGTTCGATGAGACAGTGCTGTTCTGCAGTTGCTTTTGACAAGCACAGTTTGGACGTATTAATTTCGTTGGTTTGTTTTTACTGTAACCAATACTAACACGGTAATAAAGACCATGGAGCCGGCATTTGGATGTTTTTCTTAAAAGTAAAATGAAAGAAGTAGCACATCTGAAGACTCCGCACTTTTACTTGGGAGTGTGCAGAGGTTTAAAATCCAATCAAGAAGCCAAGCGCGTTGAAGTCAAAGGATCTGTGCTGCAGTCTCGTCGATGGCGTACTGCTTAGGAAACTGTCCCTAAAACTGCTATAGTTCGAGAGTCAGAACGTTCTTTTCTTTTTTTCTTACTTGAAAGCTAGCAAATTCCTCACAACTGCTGCCGTCAACTATTACAGTGCTTGTTCTGTGATTCTTCCTAGGAGGCTGGGACATAATACCTTTTTAATCTTACATAAAATAACCTACGAGGCCGTCAACATTTTAGTTCTCCCACTTGACTTCTGAGTATGTTCCTTTCAATTCCTTTGGTCAGTTTGTGCCTCTGTTTGGAGACGTTGCATTAGGGGATTTCATGCACCTGTCAGCCAGAGAAGCTCTGTCTGTTCCCAGATCCTGAGTGTTTGTCCTGCTGAGCAGGAGGGAGAGCTAAGAGGGACTGTAGCTCTGGAGGATGGAGAAGATACATCCTCGTTACCATTGACAAACCAGGATTCCCTCAAGCGAGGGTCAGAGTGTCACCTGCGAAAATGATAGCGCGGTGTTACGGCGCAGTGGTGCCCAAGCAGTGACTTCCCGCAGGACGGCCTGGACCCCGCGTCTCACGGTTTTCTCCTGAAATACCACTGAAGGTGGAGAGAGGACAGGGAACTTGTCTCCTAAAGATCTGAGGCAGAGCGGAGAGCAGTTGGCTATCTAAATTTTTTGAAATCTCAGGTTTAATCCCAAGAACTCCCTTAGGTTTGTATTCTGCTGCATAACGCATTTCTCACATTGGAAACACACGCTCTTGGAAGACGTACAGTGTGGGCCACGTGCCTTCGCCTGCTCCCTGGCTCACCGCTGCCCCTTGGGTGGTGCTGGCCGCCTCCAGGCAGCAAAGCTGGACACAAGGGGAGAATCTGTTGGTTCCTTCCGGCCGCTGTCTGACCGTAGCTCCTCCCCACCCACAGACAGCGATCCTCTCTTACCTTTTTAGAAACATTTTTGAGGGGATGTCAAGAAGAAGTCTTCAGAAGCCTTTGTGATTCATGAATTTCCAAAGCTGCAGTATTTATTTGTAAGAGCTATGTTTTTTCTAGAAAAGGTCTTCCAGGCGTCAGTATTTAAGAGATTCTAAGGGTTGAACTAGAAAAAGTCTGAGTATGTGTTGGTACCACTTGCCGTATGGAAATAACTCAAAGGTAATCTGTTGTCGTGTGAAACTGAAGTCATTCTCTTTCAGCAGAATTTGTTGCGGTTTATCTGTCTGTTTCAGACGTTCTAATGTAAAATTTGTTGATTTTCAGGTCTTTTTGACAAACGCTGCAAACGTCTTTTTGCTGGAACCATGTGTTGAAGTTCCCGTGCTCTTGAAAGAGCAAGTTGATGCCTGTAAGGCTGTTTTGAATATTTTTAGGCGCATGATAATGGAACTTACAATGAATAAAAAGACGTGGTGAGTCTATTTTGAATTAATTAATGTTGTGAAACAGATGTTTTTGTTTTTGAACATAACAGTTAAAAGGTTAAAGCCTCCACTTATTAAATAGCTTTACAAAGTTAACAGTAAGATGATGATCAGTCTTTTGTAACATTTCCTGGGAATTACGAGGGTAAGTATCCAGCACTTTGATAGTTCATTTATTTTCATTATGAGTTTTTAAAACCGTTCTCCAATTAAGAGTAAGTAGTCATTTTACTTAAGTAGATTTTTTCCATTTTAAACCGTCATCAAACAGTTCTGTGGAAAAGCAGTAACTGGTGTTTTGTAGTATCATTTTTCGTGAGCCCAGGAGGGCTGGCTAATTGGTCCAGAACACTTGTAACTGACTGTGCTGCTCTGAATTTTAAGTTTTAAATTCGTTTGGAAAAGCCAGTATTTTACGCGTTAAACTGTCAGAGTGCAGTCAGAACCACAGTGGCGGCATGCAGGTCGGACACGCGTCTGTGAGCCGCTTTCCCTTCCACTGCTCGTCTTTGTGTGGAGTTTTTGTGTTTATAACACCCCAGAAGCAAGCGCGGCACGGGACTTTCCGCACTGAGTGTCCTCAGGTCCCTCCAGCCCCCGAGGTGTTTTCAGGGATTCTCCGCTTGGAACAGAGCCTGGAGCCCCTCCTACCTGCTCCCCTTCCTTCCATGCGGGGAAGGCAGCCTCTGGCTTCTGCCTTCCAAGAGCTTCTCCAGTCAGTCCCTCGCATGTCCTCTCGCCCGGGCTGCGCCCTCACTGCCAACCTGACTGCGGTCAGCATCCTCCGCGGTGATCTCCGGTCTTGGCTCACTGCAGACTCGTGCAGGCGGGACCTTCCCCAGAAATGCGCGGGGTCCCCATGACTGAGCCTGTGCTCTGGGTGCTTCATTTGCACCCAGGGTGCTGTGGGAAGAGTCTGTCTGCAGTCGGTGGAACTTTAACTGCAGATGAGGTAGAACTGAGCTGGCAGGACCTCCAGTCCATCACATCCAGCTCTCCTTTCTCAGCTGAGGGAAGGGTGGACTGGAGGAAGCCGGCAGGCAGGAAGTTCACAAATACAGAAACCACAAGTATCAAGATGACCCTTCTAAGATGTGCATTCCAGTGTCACCTTTCCCAGATTTTCCACCTAGCACCATGTGCCAAGAGCAGTAGTGAGAGCGTTAACAGCGATGAACAAGCGAGTGCAATGCCGTGTCCCTAACGTGGAAGTGATGGGAAAGGCCGGTGCCCTCACCTGAGACCTCAGCTCCTCCTACCTGTTGTATCCTGTGCTTTTGATGGTCTTTTTCCTTTGAAAACTCTCTGAATTCTGCATACCAGTCAATCAGTAATATTTTGATA